AAAACGAATGTGGCAAGACTTTGGCCTTCAACATACTTCTGATCATATTCAAAATCGTTTGATTTCTTCTTTCTGCAACACCATTGTGTTATGGTGTGTATGGGGTACAATCTCATGCAAAATACCATTCATCTTGCAAAATGATGCAAACTCACCATTGTTGTATTCTCCACCACTGTCTGATCTCAACACTTTAATAGCTCGATCACATTGTTTCTCAACCATCAATTTAAAATCAATGAAATGACTAAATACCTGTTACTTCTTGTTATAGTCATCGATGAATGTCACAAAAATACTTGTTACTTCCTAGTGAAGGAACATCAAAGGGTCCATACACATCGGTGTAGATAACTTTTAACACATCCTTGCTTTTGATATTGATGCATACCTTAAAGGGATTTCTAGTTTTTTTCTCTGTCATACAACCTTCACATATATCTTTACATTTCTGGACTCGAGGCAATCCAATCATCATCTTCTTTTCTGCAAGTTGGCTCAAACTATCAAAGCCAAGATGATCATACCTTAAATGTCACAACCAATTGACATCAAAGATTGCTGCTGTAAAACACAAGTTATTTGATACTGAAATATCAACTCGAAAAACTCTATTCTTATTCAAAAGTGCCTTCAAAATTGGTATCTCATTCTTATCGAGGATTCTTAACATTTGCTCACTCTATCTCCAATCAATCAAATGTCCTTTATGAAAAAGTTGACCAATAATAAAAAAATTATGTTTTATGACTGGAACATAGAGCACATCCAAAATTATTGCAATTTTGTCATCTCTTCTTTTGATCATGATTTTACCTTTCCCTTCATAGTTCATTATAGAATTATCTGCAAAATTTACCTTCGATCTAACACTCTTATCGAGATTGATGAACCAACTCTTCTGAAATGACATGTGATTTGAACGACCAGTATCCAAATACCAAGACTCACCCAAAGCACCCACTGATTTCGTCGAGGTCACTATTAATAGCACTTCATCCTTTGAGTCTTCCTTTTGTGCAACATCCGCTTCTTCTTTTTTGCTCCAATATTCAGCAACATAATGATCATACTCGTAATGGTTATAACAAGATACATTCTTCTTACTCGCACCAGAGTCTGATCAACCACCTCTCCATTATGAGTTTTTGTCTCCGCCACCTCTCGATTGTGAAGAGAACTCTTGTTTCCCTTCTGAGCTTGTTAAGTGGTAAAAAGTTGATATAATTATGCCTTAAATTGTTATAAAACCACTTAATTTATGTTAATTCTAATATATTTTTCTCCCAATATAGGACGAATTTGAGAATACCTTGATACAAGAGTAAGGAGCATAGTTGTCAGCATAATTAGAGTAAAATTGAAAGAAAGAAGAGCGCCTAAGCGGATGAATGATGCAAGGCCCGACCCAAATTCTCTTATAAAAAGATAAGTTGTGTTTTAAGAAAAGAAGCAGTCTTGGAGAGGAGGAGACACGACTACTGTTAGGGTTTTGTCCAATCTTCATCAATTCTTCTTCATCAATTGAAGCATTGTAATGGCCAACATGAGTGGCTAACTTCATTCTCTTAGGACTCGGTGCACTTCCTTTGAATTCTTTTGTATCATGGTGAAATTTTGATATATTAATCTATGCTTTGATGTTGTTATTCTTATCCTTTATGTTTTGGAATGATTTATTCTTGATTGTTTGAGGTATGATTGGAAAATATATCTTGAACCCTAGATCACGATAAGAATATTTGTTACGTTAATTGCCAGGAATGGAATGAATGTATCAATTGTTTAACACCCTAACCCTAATGCTGGAAAATCTGTTAATTGTGTGAGGAATCAACATTTATTAGGTTTTCTTATGAATTTCATGTGTGAGGAATCAACATGGATGATTTGAGTAGGTGGCATCAACATTGTTAGGTTAATTGACGTTCTTAATTGATTTAGCCATTACAAAAGAGGGATAAGGAAGGAAGCCAATCCTAAGTACCTTTAATTGATATTTTCTCAACAATTTACAAGTCTTTGTCATTCAATTTCAATTCAACTCTTATTTGCAAAACCTAATCTGTTTTAATCTACTTAGTAAGCATAATTGGGAATTTCCATTGAAACTGTTTCTCGTGGGATCGACTTTTATTTAATCGAAATACTATACTGCGATTGATAATTTGGTACGCTTGCCAATAATTCAACAGAGTCTCATCTACAATTGTTTCTACCTCTTTCTTTTCCTCAACCTCTCTTGTTCTTCTTCGATTTCCTTCATCTTTTGGTTTTGTTTTGTCAATAATGTTTGTTCTATGTTGGACCTTTCTTTTGCTCTCATGTAACCGTTGTTCATGAGCCTCCAATGATTCATATAGCTTATTAAGTTTCAACAAATCAAGATCCTTATATTCTTTAATAACTACAAAAACTATGTCAAACCTAACATCGAGAGTTCTCAGCATCTTCCCCACCACTGCTCGTTCTTTCAAAATTTTACCACAAGACTTCATCAAGTTTGTGATCGACAACAATCTAGCAAAATATTCTTTGATTGTTTCTTGCGTCTCCACCTGCAATAATTCATACTAGCGATGCAAGATTTAAAGTCACACCACCTTCAACCTCTCTCCACCTACGTAACTGTGTGTCAATATATCTCATGTTTCTTTCACCGAGTTTACCAACAAAATCTTCTCAAACTTGTTTTCATCAACAAACTGATGAATGTATAACATAGTTTTTCAATCATGTTTCTTTTCCTCTCGAAACATCGCACGCTACACCTCGGTGGGATTCTTAGGTAACCCCTCATATTCATTTAGAACTACATCTAAGACGTCTTGAAAATAAAAAATGGCATTCAGGTTCTTGCTATCTAGTACTAGCATGTTGTCATGCAACCTAGTTCTTGTCATTGTCATTATTTTTCTTCATTTTCTTCTTCTTCCTGGATTTCGAAGCTCTTAATAACACTATTAGAAGAAAATGGGTTTAAAAACAAGTATTGAGAAAGTATCAAGAAAAAAAGGTAGACTGAATGTAATTGTATTCAAGGTAAGAACTGAATTATATTGATGCGCTTTCATTACTGAAAATACTATATAGACATAATATTTAAAGCAATCACTAATTAGACTAACTAACCTAACTGAAACCATCTTTACAACATAATTGAATTATTATCTAGCGGTTGCAAGTCCCACATTTGGCTTCAAGTCTAAACAAACAATATTTTTTTTGTATGGTTTGTTTGTTTGTTTTTTTTAAATTAGAACAAGATGGAAACTTGTCTTTCCAACCTCCTTTGTTGTTATTACATGTTCTTCCTTTCTTCGATTATCTTTCTTCCATCATAAGGTTTTTCCCATGGATACTACTATCATGAGTTTTGCTTTAAACATTTTTTCTGAAATGTTTATGTAATGGCTCAATGTTTTACAAGTAAAATTTAGGAAAACTCCTTATTTTCTTTAAGGGAATAGATTTTATAATCAAATCTATCTAGAAGACACACTATAATTTTTTTCCACATCTCTTTGATCTTTTAAGTTCTTCACCCAACAATATGATATGTGTAACACTTTTGAAAGTAAAAAAACTCATTTACTATTTCAAACTCCTTAAGTTTAATTGCCTAAAATTCTCTTAACAAATTCAACACATTCATCCTCCTTATTTTTACATTGCCTTGAATTTTTCCTTGAGTTTATCTCAAATACTCTTTTGTTATCTCGAATACTCTTTTGTTATATCGAGATTCAATATCTTGATACAAACATCATACTATAAAGTTGAATGTATGATGACAAGTGTTCTATCTATTTATAGAACATTCAACTAACTCTTCCATAAAGTAAAGATTATTATCAATTTCAATATAATATAACAGAAAAATATAAAAACATATATATATATATATATATATATATATATATATATTAAAAATATTTTTGAAGAAGACAATTTTTATTTCCATATTTTCACGCAATTAAGCGATTTCTCATATACACATGAAATAGTTTTATTCTGCTTCTCATGTATATTTTTAGTAATAATATGACTCTTGTAATCTTATAAATATATCTTTTTAAAGTTTAGAGACATTTTATATACTTGAAGAAGAAAAAATAGCTTGGCGATAAACAATGTTGATGCTTTAACTCCCGAGAGTTAAAGATTATTAACAGTGATATTGTATTGTAAAATAAACATAATTTAGTTTAAGTAAAACAATATGAAATCAAGTATTTAATTTATTATATGAATTAATTTATAATCTACTCAACTCAATATATAAATACTTAATTTTATTCGTTTCAAATTTTGTGAAATATTTTCAAAATAGGAAAAACTTTTATCATTTGACACATTACTCCCCACTAATACATAATATATTACCAAAAAAATCTTAATCATTATAGCGTTAATTTTATAATCATATTTACATCTGGAAAGAATAACTAAATGTCACTTTCTTAAACATGAGAATTATTATCACGACTTAAAATTAATTTATTAATAAAATAATTCATAAAATTTACAATTAACTTTTTTGAAATTTAGTTTTAATATATACATAATTTATTTTATTTTTTATTTATTTATTATTATTATTATTATTATTATTATATAATTTATTTATTTTTGTAGAGAAAGGTATCGATGTAAACTCTTGCTTGTGCATCACATTAAGTATTTGATATATTTGTGTAGACTTTTCCATCCAAGACTGCGAAATCAAATTAAAGTTTCCAAATATTAACAAACAAGATGGGAACTGGTCTGCAGAATGAATCTCCTCCACAACCATATATATGCTCACCAACAACTGCAGAACCCACCTTCCAAAATTGGCATGACATGTGTCCTCGGAAACGCAAGTGAAGGAGGAAAATGTGAATCTCACAAACTATATAAGTTGCATGAAAGAGTATGAAGAATAAGCATCAGAAAAAGTGAAATCAGCAACAGTTGATTATTTGATAAACAGTTGAATACAGAAGAAGATCGAGATGGACTCCCAAAACGCGAGCTTCAATGCTGGACAAGCCAAGGGCCAGGCTGAGGTCTGCCATTAACATTGTGTGTTCATATATAGTGTGTTGATCGGCATGCATCCTGAACATTGACAAGTGTTTGTGTGTAAATGTTGCAGGAGAAGGCTAGCAGCATGATGGACAAAGCTAGCAATGCAGCTCAGTCTGCTCAAGACTCCATGCAACAGGTTCTTCTGTGCTTTCTTTCTCAACATTTTTCCAAATCAAATAGATCAAGAATGATGTCATGACATGCCTGTTTAATACAGAATTACATTCATCATGAAATGAATAACATGTTTAATCCCAAATCTGTTTGTTAATAAATTGGCTTGCATAAATTGTTGTGTGCAGGCTGGGCAGCAAATCCAGGAAAAAGCACAAGGAGCTGTTGATGCTGTGAAGAATGCAACTGGGATGAACAACTAATTCAATTATCCTGCACTTGCTTTCCCTTCAAATAAACTCATCATTGTATTCATCTTATTTCATTTTCCGTGATTCCATTTTTTTTCCAAATGTAATCATTCTATACTTTTATTATAGAGTCAAGATTCAATTTTCGAATTTGAATGTTCTCAATTAGTGTTGAGTTCAATTATAAGAGCATTCTTAGGGGTAGTGTATACATAACAGAATAAAAATATACTTTTCTCATTTTAAAAATATGCTATTTGTATAATACATATTTAACGATAGAGAAAATAAATTCAAAAAAAAAAATGGTAATAATATAAACAGTCAAAATAAAAAAAAATAACAAATGTGAAAATTTGAAATCAACGAGTTTTTAGATGTTAGAATCAATGTGGCTAAACTACGTGAAGCACTAGAATTGAGCGTTAAAGTTCCTGCGAGGCCCTCATATCCTTAAGTTAATATGCGAATAAAATATTTTGAAAATAATATTCTTAAACCATCTCAATCATTTACAAGTTTTTAATTTATACAAATTTCACTATTAATACATATATTCGTTATCAATTATTCTATATGTTTAATAATTAAAATAATTGATTAAGATAATAATAACTCAAAGGAATCGATTTATCTTCCAATAAATATAATTACGAGGACACAAAAATTAAGTACTTACCATGAGATAATATATAAAAGATAGAATATAAAAATTTATTGATGTATTTTTTATTCATTAAAAATTTGATTCAATCCATCCATTTTAATAAAAATTCAATTGAATATTGATGAATGTATGTATAATGCATTCATAAATATCATATTTTAAACAAAATTAAACACTTTTTTAAAATTTTATTTTATTGAAAAATTTATAAATAAATTTATGAAAAAAATTAAAAGTATACTTTTGAAAAATATAATTAAAAAATATTTAATTATACAAAAAAAAATCGTCCGTTAAATATTAATAGAAACACTTGAGAAATTATAATTAGACATCCATAAAATTAAGTGCATGTGGATGAATTAAATCCGATCCATTTTGTCATATTTTTATGATGAATTGGATGTGTTCACTTTGTAGATGGATTGGATAAATATAGATAAATTATATATATATATATATTTATGAATTGATTTATAAATCATAATTAATATATAATTAACTTCCTTAAACATATTGATTTTGTAATTGAGCCTATGGAGAAGACTTTATTAATTATCAAAATTATATAGATCAAGGCGATTTTACTTTTGGTTTGCATTTGAGAATTTTATTTTTCAAGATGTTATTTTTCAATTTCGTTTCTTCTACACTCATTCTTCTTTTAAATTCAAGTTTAAGTTTCATTTTGTACATGCTACTGATTTTCTTATTGTAGAATTGATTTCATAAATCATTTACTCCTCAAGTTGCATTGTTTTGTACTTTTCCTTAACACTGTCAGGACATAAGAGGATTGGAATAACGAACCTTCTACTTCATATTTATTTGAGATTGAAGTGAGGCTTTAATTTCATAACATATTTGGATGTTTTATCTAAAAGAGGATTTTCTTTTATAATGATTTGCTAATTTTGTAAATGTTTCATCATTCTTACGCATCACACATTTTATTATTGTGAAAATATATTTTATTTCAAATGAATGATATATATTTCATTAAAATAAATGAAGAAATTATAATTTTAATATCATTTATTCCATTATACTCATAAGTCTTACATCGCTTAGGAGTTAAGGTCAAAGGTAATTGATATACACTTTCATCTCTTAACCAACTAAGACACCTTTTAAGGATAAAATCATGACAAACGAGAGCTCTAAAGCAAAAAATACCTCGAATATGAGAATTAACCCTAACGATGTTATCATAGCAGACATTGAAAAAAGAATTAATAGTTATAACTTTATTTATTAGCATAATTGTTTTTCTATAACAAATCGTGTTTTTCCCCTTTTGTATTTAGTTATGATATATTCTTTTATTTTTGTTCTACGGGGATTTATATATATATATATATATATATATATATATATATATATATATATATATATATATATATATATATATATATATAACCTGTTTGAACTCCTTATTTTGTGAAAAATTCTTAATAAAAAAACAGATAAATTCCATCATAAGTATATGAACAATAAGATGATATCAGATGTTATTTCTTGATTTTTTTTTTCTCTATTCCTATGATGTTCGAACCCTATACTGACTTTCACACTAATCTCTCAAATACATCTTTTCTTCCTTCCAATGGAAATTCTATTCTCGTTCTTGTCTCCACCTTGTTGGATGGCAAGAATTATCACATCTGGGCCCGCACCATGAAACTTACGCTCAAATCCAAGAATAAACTAAAATTTGTGGATGACACTCTCTCCGAACCACCATCAACCAGCCTTCTTCACAAACCTTGGGATCGTTGCAACACAATGGATCCAACTCTTTGTGCATGAAACCATTCTTAAATTCATTCTCTGAATCGAACTTGCTTTCGATGTTTATCAAGATTTGTACCATCATTTTCATCAAGGAGATATGTTTCGTGTTGCAGATTTATATGAAGACTTATACAAATTACACCAATGTACTCTCTCTGTAACTGAATTTTACAGAGCTATGTATTTTTTGGGAGGGAATCGATATTTGTCTTTCCTTTATTAATTGCACATGTACTATCAAATGTTCTTGTGATACTCTTGATTATGCTCAACCCTATAAGTAATAAGATTATGTCATTCAATTTCTGAAAGGCCTCAATGATCAGTATGTCTTAGTACGATCTCAGATTATGTTAATTGATCTTCTTCCCGATATTACCAAAGTTTTTAAAATGGTTATCTAACAAGAATGTCACTTACATTTTGTTCTTAGTTCTTTTGAAATTGTTCTTGATTCACAAGCCCTAGCTGCTACTATTTGTCCGAATTTGCAGTCCAAAAATGATGATGTTTTTAACTCAAATCCTTTCTATAGAGGACGAGGCAGAGGTCATTTCTTTCCAAATGGTCGTAGCAGAAATAATAGAGGGAGAAGTTCTCATGGTAATAAATTATGTACTTATTGTGAATGCACAAATCCCACAGTAGATACATGTTATTTCAAACATGGTTTTCCACCAGGATATAAAAATTGCATGATCAATAATGTCGCATCTGGTGCTTTTCCATCTGACCATATTACTACCAATGTCTCCAACCTTCACGAGATCTCACGGTCAGTGCTTAAATTTACTGAAGAACAATATCATGACATTCTAACTATTTTGCAACAATCCAAATCTCTTGCACATGCAGTAACTTCGTTGTTCACTCCTTCAATTAATTCTTCTTCAACTCTTCCTAAAAATCCTTCTGTCCTTCTCATCTCCTCGGTGGCTTCTGGATACATGTGTCATTGAGCATATCACTTTTGATTTTCACAGTCTTATCACTAATAAATCTATTTCACCTATTTTCATTATTTTGCCAAATGTTGTCCAAGTTTCCACTTCTATATTTGGTACTGTTATGTTGTCAGATTCCTTAATTCTTTATGATATTCTTTTCGTTCCCAATTTTCATGTAAATTTGGTTGTTGTTCAAAAATTGATTCAAACCTTGCACTGTCATCTTCTTTTTTAACTCTTGTGTTATTTTACAGCAAACCTCCCAGAGGATGATTGGTTCGGCTAGCTTGCACCAAGGATTGTATGTGCTAAATTTGTCTCACTTTTATCACAACCATCATCTTGTTTCTACTCATACCACTATTATCAAACCCAAAGATGCTTCTCTTTGGCATCATAGATTAGGTCATGTCTCTGGTTCTATTTTTCGTATTATTTCCCAACAATATCCTTTATTTCTTACTCTGTAAATCTCTCTCCTTGTGACATTTGTCATTTTGCTAAACAACGCAAATTGCCCCATCATAATAGTGAAACACAGTCACATAAAATTTTTGACATTATTCATGAAGACACATGGGGACCATATTATGTACCTTCTGATTGTGGTTACAAATATTTTCTCACTTCAGTTGATGATTACTCACGTTTTACCTGGATTAAATTTATGAAATCCAAATCTGAAACCCGCACACATTTAATACATTTCATTTCATTGATTGAAACTCAATTTCATGCTAAAGTCAAATGTTTTCAAAGTGACAATGGAGTAGAATTTTTATTAATAGATTGCTTTCATCCAAAGATATTATTCATCAAAGAACTTATGTTAAAATGCTCAACAAAAAACTGTTATTAAATGCAAACATCAACATCTTTTAATGTAGCTCGAGCATTGTTTTGTCAAACTCAACTACCTCACATTTTTTGGCCTTATGTTATTCAACAAGTTGTTCATATCATTAATAGACTGCCTACTCTGTTATTGCAGTTTATGTCTCTACGCTTCAAAATCACAGAACTAAATTTTAGCCTCGTGCCAACAAAGTTGTTTTCTTGGGATATAAGGAAGGTATTAAAGGTTATGTTTTGTATGATCGCTATACCCATCAAATTTTTCTTTCAAGAAATGTTATTCTTTATGAAACTGTGTTTCCTTTTCATTCCTCCACCACTCTTTTCTCAACTTCTTCTATTTTTTTCTCTATTATCCGATATATCCTCTCCTACAAATACCTTATCCTTGTCTAAGCTTATTCATCACCTTCCTACTACAGACATTCCATCTGTATCCTCTCCTACAAATACCTTATCCTTGCCCGAGTCTATTCATCACCCTCCTACTACAGACATTCCATCTACATCCTCTCCTGCAAATACTTATCCTTGTTTGAGTCTATTCATCACTCTCCTACTACAGACATTTCATCTATTATAAATTCTAACCAGAATCTTAGTTCTCATGTCATGACTTCTCCACATATTAGACACTCTACCCGATCTCGCAGACCACCCTCTTCCCTAACAAATTTTCATTGTCATTTTGCAATTACTTCTAGCAGTTCCACACATCTTCTTAAGGGTACTTGTTTGCATCCCTTATCCTCAATTCTTGATTATTCCAAATGCAATTCCTCTTATAAAAAAATATTTTTTGTTGTTACTAACATTTCTGAACTTGCTACTTTCTCCCAAGCATCTAAATTGTATTGTTGTCAAAAGGCTATGAATGTTGAGTTACAGGCTTTACAACAAAATAACACCTGGTCTATTGTTGATCTCCCACAAAGAAAGAGTCTTATTGGTTGTAAATAGATTTACAAGGTTAAATATCATGTAGATGACACTATTGATACAAAGTCTGTTTAGTGGCCAAGGGCTACACTCAGTTAGAGGGAGTGGATTATTTTGACACATTCTTCCCCGTTGTCAAGATTACTACTGTTCGTGCTCTTCTAGTCATAGCAGCAGTTAAAGAGCTTGATGTGAATAATGTCTTTCTTCATGGAGATCTTCATGAGGAAGTCTGTATGGTCCCTCCACCTTGTTTGCTTCCACCAGTTCTTCTCAGGTTTGCAAACTTCACAAGTTGTTGTATGGACTCAAGCAAACCAACAGACAATGGCATAGTATTCTTTCTACCACTCTTTTATCTCTCAACTACAAATAATCTTTAGTTGATCAATATTTGTTTGTTAAGGTTACTTCCACTTCTTTCACAACTTTATTAGTTTACATGAATTACTAAATTCAAGATTAAAGATCTTGGTGCTCTTCGTTATTTTTAGGATTAGAAATTACAGGGTCCAAGTCTGGCATTCACATGAACCAATGTAAATACACTCTTGAACTTCTTGATGATAGTAGTTTACTTGGTTCCAAACCTATCACCACTCCTTCTGATCCCTCTACTAAACTTCAGGCTAATCATGGACAACTGTATTCCAATACCACTGCTTATCGCAGATTGGTCGGTAAACTATTATATCTCACACTTACACGCCCTGACATTACCTTTTCTGTCCAACAACTCAGTCAATTCATGGCTCAACCACTTGATATTTATTATAAAGTTATCATCCAGGTTCTTAGATACTTAAAAGGTCCACCTATCCAAGGATTATTTTTTTTTGTCTCTGCTGACATTCATCTTTCTGCTTTTGCTGATTCGGGTTGGGTCTGTTATTTGGACACTCGCCACTCGATCACCAAATTTTGTATTTTCCTTGGTTCTTCCTTGATTTCCTGGAAATCCAAGAAGCAATCTAGTGTCTCTCGTTCATCCTCCGAAGCAGAATATCGAGCATTAGTCATCTCACTTGTGAGATTCAATGGTTACATTATCTTTTTTGTGATATTTATGTTTCATTGGGTTACTGCAGTCTATTGTCACAATCAATATGTCATTTACTTAGCTCATAATCATGTATTTCATAAGTGCACTAAACACATTGATATCGATTGTCATGTGGTTAGTAAGAAAATTCAACAAGGCCTAATTCATTTTTTTCCTATTTTGTCTTCCAACCAGCTTGCGGATACTTTTACTAAACATCTTCATCATTCAGCTTTTGACAATTCTATATCCAAGTTGGGTCTTTGTGACATCCACTGTCCAATTTGAGGGGAAGTATTAACATAATTATTATTTTATAACAAATCCTATTTTTCTCTTTTTGTATTATTTTTAAGTATTTTTAAGTATGACATATTCTTTCTTTTCTATTCTACGTGGTTATAATATATATATATATATATATATATATATATATATATATATATATATATATATATTACTTTTACTCTTCTTTTGGGTAAGAAATTCTTAATAAAAAAACAGATGAATTTCATCTTATGAACGTTAGGATTATTAAAAAAAGTTAAATAATCAACACAATGTCATATATTGATGAAATTCCCTTCAAATATTATCATAGCAAACATTGAAAAAGAATTAATAGTTATAACTTTATTAAAAAAATTATATAATCAACACAATGTCATAGATGAAATTCCCTTCAAAATGAAAATATGTAATGAAAAATCTTAATAAAAATGTAATAAAATTATATATTAATTAAATATTGATAGTATTATAATATATAATTTATATATTTATCTTATTAAAACGATTTTGGAGGATTAAATTATATAGATTAATAAGATAAAAATATAAAATTAGTAAAATATATTAGGGATAAAAAATTATGTAAGAAAAAGATACTTTATAAAAACAAATAAATGATGACAATACGAAGAGTTAACAAGAATCTAACACGAGAAAATTAAGAAAATTAATGTTGTAATTGTATTAAACATTTGATGATGGATGTTAGAGATTGAATATGTTGAAAGTCCCACATCGCCTACCTCATATAATTTGGTATGGTTTAAATACATGTTAGGCTACTCCACATATTGCCAATTGGTTTTATGTTGGAACCTTAACATGGTATCAGAGCCAAAGCCTAACATCTTTCCGGTTATTGTCATGGGTCAAAAGTACCCTTTGCCTGGTCCGGCGGGCTTCGTTGGAGGGGGTGTGTTGAAAGTCCCACATCGCCTACCTCATATAATTTGGTATGGTTTAAATACATGTTAGGCTACTCCACATATTGCCAATTGGTTTTATGTTGGAACCTTAACAGAATACATGCTTTAATTTTATCATATATTTTTCTTAAGTGATCAAAAGTGATAATATCACTTAATCTTAAAGTTACATCACTAACATTGTAAAATGATAATTAATTTAGAATAGACTATTTCTGTAAAACTTCTTATAAAATGGAATTAATTATTCATCTAAAAAACATAGTTCAAAATGGAGTGAAAATGAATGAATTAATGCTACCCAAAACATCACTTGGTATCTCTCACTTTGTCATTCTACCCCAATATTTCAGCCATAAAGAACTAGTCCAAGAGATTAAAATAAAGAACAAACCTCATTCAAATGCATAATAAAAGGGCCCAAGAAGCCTAATGCCATGACATGTGTCCTTGAAAACGCATGTGAAGGAGAAAAATGTGAATCTCAATTTGTTCCAAAAAACATCATAAGAAGCAACTATATAAGTTAACAGAGAACGAGAAAAAATATGTAAGCATTTGATCAAAAGCTATAACAACACTTGATTTTCACAAACACACAGTTTAGAACAAGAATCAACATGGACTCCCAAAACATGAGCTACCAAGCTGGACAAGCCAAGGGCCAAACTGAGGTCTTTCTTTAACTCTGTCTCTCTCTCTCTATCTCTATGTCAAGTAAATTGCTAAGAAACTAATATAACATGTTTTTTTTAGAATATCGATATTTCAATTCATCTTTACATGTTAATGTTGTCTTGCTCATTTTCTTAGCTTTAATTCTATATATGTCAAAATTTTAGTTTTTTTAAAAATTTTAGTGTGTAATTTTTTTAATTATACACAAAGTTTCTTGTGGGATTGCAGGAAAAGGCCAACTCCATGATGGAAAAGGCAGCCAATGCTGCTCATTCTGCTCAAGAATCATTGCAAGAGGTTTTTATTTGTGAACCTCTAAACCCTAAACATTTATCCTAATCAAATAAATCAATAATAACTTGTATGTTGAATCCATAATTTGCATGAAATTATTACATTGGAACCCTAAAAAAGAGACTATTTTTTGTTGTGCATAGGTTGGACAGCAAATGCAGGCAAAAGCACAAGGAGCTGCTGAAGCTGTGAAGAATGCAACAGGGATGAACAACAAATGAAGATGAATGAATATCTTCAATTATGCTGAACTTGGTTTCCCTTCAAATAAACCATGTTGTGCTGATTCATGTATTCTCCAGGAACATCACATTTCATTCTTTTTCCAATGTAATCATTTTCTATGTTGTAAGTTCAGTTAAACCAGTTTTGTTAATGTTTCATTTTTGAATGGTTGTAATGTTCTCTCTATGCTAAAATAATTCAAGTTTAATTAAAATAACTTTATTTCTTCAATAGTATGCATCATTAATTCTGTATGTTGCAGATGACATGGAAATGACTTATTTGAAGGAAAATTCAGCATAAAATAATTATTTTTTCATCAAAAATTAAAAATATCAATCAATTTTAAAAAATTAGAAACTAAAATTGTAGCCATTCTGAAACGGAAAATAAAAAAAGTGTATATTAAAGAAGAAGAAAAAAAATAGTGACTGTACAATTTTAAAATTTTATTATATTTACTTTGTGTCTAATGAGCCTCAAATATGAGTAGAAATGCTGTAGATTATTTTAAAAGTTTCTTTCTATATAAATTTAATGTATAAAGCGAATTTCAATTACTAATAAAAAAGAAAATTTTTACTATAAAATTCAACCAAAAAATATTTTATTTTACAAAATAAAACTAATTAAAATTCAAACATACACTAATTTATCACGGATATATATATATATATATATATATATATATACACACACACAACTCAATCCATCTACCTTTAAACAATTTAATTAGAAAAAAAAATCATAATGGATTGTTTTGAGAATTATATTATAATTAATTTAATGTAATTGAGTTTGGTATCTAATTTTTTAACCATTGATCGGCTTTTTTACACAGAATATATATATATATATATATATATATATATATATATATATATATATATGATTAAAAAAAACATAAATTGTGACGTGACTTAGAAATATATTTCATAAAACTTTTCTTGTGAATAGTTTTTTTTTTCTAACTTTTATTTTATTCTCTCTTTTTTCTTTTTAATTTTTAAACTCAATAAAAATCTTATGAATTTGATAATAGTGTCTCAAATCCCACCTAATTCAAGAGTTTCTTAGAAACTTAAGAGATCATGACTCCTAAAATTTTATAATTTATAATAGTATTTACAAATTTAATCTTTAACTCTTTTATATTTTTTTATTTTTAATATTTATTATTTATTAATAATATATTATTTAATTTTTTGAATTAATTATTTTGAATGTTAAATATAATATTCCTTAAATTCAACCCTATTTTGTCCGAAATCATTCATACAAGTTCCTCTCTCAATATCTTAAACTTTTTTTTTCTTTTTAAGCTTGCCAGAAAAATTATATCATATCTATTCCTCGTTAACTCTGGTTTTGTTATGGTAACTACTTGAGAAAAAGAGTTAGGAAGGAAAGATTGAAAATAGATATTGAATAATAATATTAATACTTATTCATTTATATTAGTAAAGAAAATAGAAAGAACCTAAGGACAAGAAAGGGAGAAAATACGAAGCAAAAAGAGAAAGTGAGAAAAACAGAGAAGGAGAATGTATAAAAATAAAACTAATTATTTAACTAGTTTTTTATAATTATTTATTTTTAATTACTTATTTTTTAAAAATTTACTTTAAAATTAAAAAAATAATACTTATATAATTTTTTTAAAACTATTTTTAATCTTTAATTTCTCAAATTTATTGTTCAGAGACTTAAATAATATTTTACAAGAGATTAAAAATGAATTTCCTTTTCAAATTGAGATATTAAAAAGAAATTTATCTCATATTTAATGAACTAAACATAATTAAACCTTTTTTTTTCATAAATGTCAAATTCTTCTTAAATTCCTTATTTCAAGTAAAACTTTTTATATTATGGGAAAAAAATATATCTCCTAAATTCCTAATGTTATTATATTTTCTCATTTTTATACTTTAGCCATGATTTTATATAAGACGTACTAGAGTCTTCAGTATTTTGATTTAACAGACAGAAGGTGAAGTTTTTCAAAACAATTTTAAAAATTGTGACAGAACAAGAATGGTTAAATTTATTGAATAAGGATTTCATTGATAAGTAATTTATGACAAAGTTTGGAATTCCCCACTATCTCTCTATCTGTTCCCTTTTTTCCCTACAAACAGTTCACAACTAATTCCTTTCACAGTTTCACTCTAAACAGACACAATCTCTTACAACAAAAACATTTTCTTCTTTTACATTAACAATAACCACAACTTCTAAAACAACATCCTCTTTATAGAGTTGAAAAACAAGAAATGAGACCCAGAACATCATCTCTAGTTATGCAATAGATTTTCATCTTCACTGATGCCTCTTACTGAAATTTGACAAGAGTGCGAAACTAATACAACTGTACATATTATGTAACATATATATATATATATATGGTCACAACATACAATTTGAGGGTCTCCCAGCAGGAAGGAGACCTTTACTGGGAGGTCCTCCTCTCAGGTTTAACAATAGTTCTACATGTCTAACAAATGCTGTCTGCATGTGCTCCCACTTCAGTTGCTGTCACTAGGAAGTGATTGGATTTTCAGAAAAGTCTCCACATCGTCTTATCTTTCCATTCTTCTTCTCGTACTCTTGGTTCAACTCCTCCAAACGCTTGGATATCTGATGAGAACCATTATACAGATTTGTAATCCTAAAGTTATATACAAAAACTATACAGTCTAGTAACATCACAGCCATGTAATATTGTGATGGTCATTATGTAGGGTGCAACCAATTAGTTATTTTTTTAGTTGTACTTGAGAAACAGAATTATGAAGGGGTGTGAAACCAAACCTGAAACAACTTAGAAATATTTAATTAGTATATGGTAAAGAACTAATTAAACAAAAAGTGTAAATGTTGAATACTAGAACAACTTTACAGTGTACAAAAGTTGGAGTTCTACTGTTTAGACAGAGAAACAGAACTATACATGATACAGCGAGGGGTTTACTACTTACTATACAAGTCTCTGACCATGATCTGGTTATATTGCCTTTGACCAAACAAAATACTTGTTCATACTTGTTCATAAGGGAGTTAAATTATGTCTCAAGTCTCATTAGGACAGCGTAAAAAAATAACATCGGTAGAACAGCATGAATCAAATTGTCATCCATGCATTCTGATTTAACTATCACTGCTCAAAAATATTATGGGACACAATGAATTAACAGAAGAAAATGTAATAGAGATATAATGCTAAATAATACATATATAATCTTCATATTTCTAATTATACAAATATGATAAAGATATGATTTTGATATCCATAAGAATAAAGACATGTCTCTTATTTATCTAATGATAAGAGTATTTAGTGTATACACACAGTGGCGGATCTTCTTGGGATCTTCTTAAGGACAACCATGACCCCCCTCTTTATAACTCCTATATAATTTATAATTTTGGTCCCCCAAACTTAATGATTATTTAATATATTTACTTATATATTTACAATTTTATTCTCTTACCTTCCCCTCAATTTTGTAACTCCTATATAATTTATGATTTTGACCCCCAAACTTAATAATCATTTAATATATTTACTTATATATTTACAATTTTATCTTCTCTCCCTTTCATCTTCTTTACACATGAGTTTTCTTATTTACAATGAAGAAGAGATCCAATACTAAGGAACAAAATCAATAATTAATAGTAAGAAATCTTTGCTTAGATTTTTCCCTATTTGATATAATCAAATCATATCATATTTCTCTATTTAAAATCAAATCATATATTTAACAATAACAATATCAAATTTGTTTCTCCTAATAACCAATAATCTTGCAAATTTAGAACTTAATATTTGTGCTAATGGGTACCACACTACGTACTAAATCCCTTTATTACTTTTGTGACAGGTTTCACTTGCCCTAATGTATTTTGCACGTATCATGTCCCTTGCCATATTAGCATATATCTATTTCCTCATATAGAACTAAAAAAATTGGTTTTTAACTTCCACAGGCTAACCACCTACTTATTATCTTTCTTAGATTCATAAGTTTTCCCATTCTCACTATAAACTAAAGCATTCTCCTTTAGTTTTAACATTCTCTTGAATATCCAACCAACATGATTCTTTACTTCCAGTTTTTAGAAATCCACTCAAATACTCGCTATTCCTCTTTTTACACCAGACTTTAAATCCCTGCCGTCCTCAGAATCCTTTCTAATATTTTTTCTAAAAAACCAATCACTATCCTTCATTTCATCCTTGATTTTCAAGTTAGTTTCATTTTTTCTGTTCTACTCATGGCATGCACATAAAAAACCAAAAACCCATACTAGGTAGCTAGGATCTCTCTTGGTATGCCTTTAGAATCCTCACAAACCCTTTTTTCTCTATTCCCCACTTGTGTTTCTGTCACTGGAAAGGCTAATAACAATTTTATTTGACTACCATTTTATGAAAAATGCTAGAAACCTGAAACAATATGCATAATGGCGTCAGACAAGAAGCAGAAATTTATCAGTTAACAAACTATGTTCACATGGAATCTTCCAAATTAAAAAGGTATTTGAACCATATGTTTTGCATTTGAGCTGAATGTTCAAGATAATAAATGCTTAATCCCAAGTTCTATAACTATTTGGAAAAGGTAAAAGAGTAGAGACACTGATAAAAAAAAATTGATCCAGTAAAACCTTTCCTGCTCAGACTTTGCCAAAAACTATATGTAGACAGCTATACACACAGATTTAATGTAGTTCAAAATTATGGAACAAGACCAAGTATAGAGATTGTATCAATACTATGATTATCATCAATTGATCAATCAAATCAATAAATCATAGATTTAAGAGGTAACAGAAAGTACAATACACCATTCAATTTTAAAAGTAACTTGAAGTTAGACAAATAAAATGCATTTTAAAGTTATGAAAAATGAAGGAAACATAACAACGAGTAAAACATGTATCCTGTTCCAATTCGTATCATTCATAGTCCATGACAAATGGGCGAACATGTGTTTTTGGGTCTGTAGAAGTGGAAAAAGATGTAAAAATGCAGAGCAAGGAAGAGAACCTTGATGGAATAAGCAAGTGGTAACAACGTATCTGGATTCATTGCATTCTCAGGGAAGTTTTTCAAAGCATGTATGAGTTTTTCAAAAGGTAGTTTAACCTGATAAACAAACAAACACAGTGAGTAGAAATTTACTTTGGTTTAAAACAGAAACAGGTCACAAGATCACATGATACTAACCAAGTCATCATGGCAGTACTTTAATAGGGCCAAGCCAACTCTAAAGACAATTTTAACACCCTGGAAGATAAGAAAGTTATCAATATAGGCCCATATTTCTAACCAATATATGGTTGTTCAGATGGAAAGCACTGACCTCATAGAGAAAGACATCCCAAATTCGAAGAGCCAAATGAAATGGAAAGGAATATGAAAATACAGTTATGAACCACTGGCTAGCATACATGCTAGGATTTATCATTTCGTTGGAAAAATGTTCACCCAACTTCGGTAGATTCTCCCTCACCAAGCATTCAAATTGAGATAGGTATTGCTGTACCAGAGGCAATCCTGCCTGCAATCAAAATAATAGTAATTTTACTGAGAAAAGAATTATTATCATCAAAAAATACAATATTAAAAAGAAACATGCAATTTAATACTTATCCAGTTCATGCCTCATAGAATATCATGTATCTTGTATAAGACAGGGATAATACATTGTCACCATCAATAATGCAAACAAATAAATTCATGGTACAAAATAGTACCAGATACAAGCCCTCCATTGGGGCATGAACGGCTCCTTTCAACAATGCCACCAACAACCAAAATGCATCCTCCTCACTCATATAAAGAAGCAAAAGTCCTGCTAAAAACCCCATTCCCTGCATTTTTAAAACGATCAATATTATGAATTACTTCACAACAAGAACATAAAGGTGACGAGTAAAACCTGAACATATCCAACATCTCTGTCAAAGACAGAGTAAGCTTTTAGAACATTGTATAGGGACCGCTGCCCAGGTCCATGTCTCTGTTGGAAGAATACATGTGAAGGGAAGGTCCGAGAAATATCTCTAATTATATCCAGTTCAGAGGCTGATGTCTCGTATATGACAAGTTGCTGCAGTAGGTACAGTGTCTTGTGAATGCAAACCCCCAAACATGGAACAGTTGTGTAATAAAATTCAAGATAATTTCAAAAAGAAAAGGAGGAAACCTTGGTATAAAAACTGGTTTGAGTCAAACTATCTCTTCAATTTCATACAAAGTTGTTAAAGTTCAGAGAAAAGAAATAATATTTGAGTCGTAGAAAAATTGAATTAAACAAGATACAAAAGACAAGAGATCAGCTATATTTAGTTGTGTGACATTTAACAGACTCTAACCAATATCTAAAAAACTAAGAACAGAAAACATAACAGATTTTAACATACTTTAACTAACTAGATAACTGTTCAAACATCACAGAACATCTACTGCTAACTGTTTTACATCATAAAATACTGCTCAAATATTCCCCCATAAGCTCAGGAGGGGAAGAATAGAAAGAGTCAGCCACTTTGAGATTGGAATGAAGATCAGCAAAAATATTAGGAGAAAGAGCCTTTGCTAGTGCATCTGCAACCTGATCAGAAGCAGGAACATGCACAACTTGAAGTTGTTTACTACTCACTCGTTCATGAACAAAAAAGGGGTCCAGCTCCATACACTAGTGCAAGCATGAAGTACAAGCTTGTGATCAAGAGCCACACAATAAATCCTGAGAGGTAAGTGGACCTTGCAACATAGAAAAGATTGAATTAATGAGATTCCAGCTGTTACAAGATCCAAACTACGATTTCAGCCTCAGTGCTAGAATAGGTTACAATGGTTTGTTTCTGGCCACCATGACACGAGATTTGGCCCAAGAAACACTGTTGCTCCTGAGTTTGGGCATGTCATCTGTATCAGAGGCCCCTTCCACCACCGTAAGCATTAAAAGAGAGAAGAGAAGTAGGCGAAGCAGGCTGTAAATGGAATCCCCAAGAAATTGCACCCTTGAGATAACTTATCGTTTTAACTGCAGTCCAATGCTGCTCAAGAGGTTGAGACACGTACTGGAAAACTTTATTAACAGAGAAACTGGTCTCAGATCTAGCAACAGATGCATACTAAACAGCACCCACCACTGATGTATACATGGTAGGATCAAGAGAAAAATCCAGAACCTTCCTTGGTTAATTTGCAGCCACTAACCATAGGAGAAGAGATAGGTTTAGCATTGTCCATGTTATTATTGGATAGAATATCTTATATTTTTACTTTGAGTCACAATCAGCAGACCAACAGATGGATTTGACTTCAATGCTCAAAACATAATTAAGATTGCCAAGATCCTTGAGTGAAAAAACATAATTGAGATGAGATGTAAGAGATTGAAGAGTTCATTACCAATGACAATAATGTCATCTACATAAACAAGTAGGGTTATCAAAACGGCAATCCAATTGATTCAAACATGACCCTGAGTTAAGTAAAAAAAGTTGACTGTCCAACATAACCTATATTTTAAAATAGGCTACAATATTTTGCTTACCTTGACCTTATATTAGGTCAACAAACCATTTTTAGCCTAGTACAAAATTCAAAAAAAAATCAAAATCTATCTATATAAAACAATTTATCCAAAATAACTAATTCAAAAAAAAATTATATATGTATATATATTTAAAATTTAAGTTATATTAATGAAATTAATTTTAATTTTAGATGTAATAATTTGATATATAAATTAGTATATATGTTTTAATCAAATAATATTACCTTTATTTTTAATTAAAAATGATTATTATTTTATAAACGGACAAGTTAAAATTGACTTAATTCAATTGAGGTCACAATCTTTTTTGTTTGACCTAAGCTATGTTTTGGGCTTTTCAAGTTGATTTATCGAGTCAATCTTATTTTGACACTCTTATAAACAATAAGGTAAAGCATACTTGTCTTGAGGGTGTAAAGAAACAATGAGGGGTCACATTTACTGGGCTGAAACTGAAATTGCAGTAGATTAGACTTGAGCTTATCAAACTACTGTAGATAGCATTGTGAAGTTTGCAAACTAAAATTCTATTTGAAGTCTCAAAACCATGAGGTTCAGTCATGTATAGCTTTTCTTCGGCATGCCCATTGAGGAAGGGATTATTCACATCAAGTTGTTTAAGAGGCCAACAGTGAGGCTTGGGAATAATACGCAAAGTTACAGGTTTAGAAACAGGTGAGAAGAACTACATAATCTGTTACAATATGTTAGTTTGTTGTAATGGGCTGTTGTTGGGCCTTAAGCCCGTTTATCATACCATATATTAATATCCTTTTGGTTCAATTAATGATAGATCAATATATTTTTCACTACAGAAAACATAATCAAAGTCATACTACTAGTGAAAACCTTAAGCCACAAGACAGGCTTTATACTTGTTAACTATGCCATCAGGGTTCTCTTTAACCAGAAAGACCCATTTGCAGCCAATAGGGGTGCGATTGGATGGTAAAGAACAAGAGACCATGAATTATTGCTAAGAAGAGCATGTGGGATCAACCTTCATAATTGTAACCATGTGGGATCAGCCAGGGCCTGTTTAGTAGACTTAGGCTCCATATCAGTCAGTAACAAGGTAAGAAGGTTACGAGATTTGACAATACCTGATTTGGCCTTAGTCTTTATAGGGTGAACATTAGAGACTCTATGAAGGCTAGAGGAAGAAAGAGGGACAGACTCAGAAAGAGATGCCCTATAGATAGAGAAGAGAAGGATGAAGTGATCAGCGGAGACTTGTTACAAAGGTTGCTGGAAACAGTAACCGGAACAGGGAGGGGTTTAGGTAAAGTGGAAGTGGTAGGGGTTGGTGAATAAAGGTCAGGATATGGAAATCGTAGTAAATTATAAATGACATCTTTTGAAATATTAATTCAACCTTCGGATGTTGAACATTTATACCCCTTGTGAGTAGTGAAATAGCCTAAGAAAATGCATTCTTCAGAGCACAATTGAAGTTTGATTGTTGTAAAGTCTAAGGAGGGAAAACAAGCACAACCAAATATCTTGAGAAAATTGTAATCAGGTAACTGGCCAAACAGTTTACAGTATGGAATTTCAAATTAAAGAGGAGATGTGGGAAGGCAGTCGATGAGACAAACACTAGTTATGAAAGCATGATCCGTAAAGGTAAAAGGAAGAGGCGGCTGAGACCAAGTTCAACAACATACCTATGTTTTCATTCAAAACCACCATTTGATGATGAATATGAGGGGCAAATAACACGATGCAGAATTCCAAATTAGTTTACGTTGGTGCCAAGGGAGTGAAATTCTACCCCAACTCTCAACCCAAATCAGTTTGATTGGCTTTTATGGGTAATTTAAAGTAGCTGTGGATCTTGTCCCAAAGCTGCCATGAAGATTTGCAGCCAATAACATGAGAAAGCATTTCATGAGAAATTGAAGATTGTAACCAAGCAAGTAGAAGTTGATCTTGTTGCTCCCATACAAGATAATCATCAAATACTTTACATGCATCATGGTGATAAAGAGTTAGGTATTTTGGGGGAATTTGAGGGTTTATGAGGTAATGATATAACGTGTGACCTTTTATTACACTTTCAACTTGCTGAAGCCACAGAAGATATTCTTCACATCCAATTTCTCAGAAATAGTGCAAGAAATCGTAATAGCTGCAACTGAAGGATTCATCTGAGTTGATGTTGAAGGTGTTGCCAGTGGAACTGAGGAGATAGGTTCAGGTTCAATGGAGAAGGAATAGAATCAGAAGCCATACTCTAGATCCAGGTCTAGAAAAACAAAAATTACTGCTAGGGATCGAACCTTGCGCTAGATATCATGTTAAAGTACAGAGAAAAGAAAAAAGAATATCTGTTTGAGTAATATTGTATTAGAAAAGATACAACAGACAAGAGATCAGATATATATAGCTGTGTAACATTTAATTGACGGTAACTAATACCTAACTACTAAGAACAGAAAACATAATAGATTGTAACAGACTAAACCGACTATAACAGAAAACATATACTACTCACTGTTTGACATTGTAAAATACTATAATAAAATTATTCTTTTAGAAAGACAACTCCAAAGTAGGACTTCCACTGGAGCAATCAAATAAAAATTGATCAAATAACTTTAATTATGTACACATCCATATTGAAAACAAAATTTAAGCTATGTATTAGCAAGAAAAATATTGTTCAACTCAAACCCAGCATATCCACCAGGCTGGTGACGCTGTGACAGCAAGCACAAATATACAAAGTGATAAAGAAAAACAAAAGGACATGCAAATAAAAATGGAGAGTATCCTTCAGTTCATATTTATTGGAGAACTATAACAAAAAACAGTGAAACAAGCATTTAGGTTACACAATCTACAAAATATATCATAATTTTGCATCAGCATTAATTAATTTGATTACCTCATAAACTCCAGGGTTCATCAGCAATAGGTCTCGACTTCCAGATATCAACTGCCAAACAAGACCCCTTAAACAATCTGGAATTCCTTTCCTTATACGCCTTTTAACAACATGAGGTTTCCTCCTTAGATAATGCTTCCAGTCACTGCCGCCAACCCCAATCATCTTCCTCCATTTTCTGACCCTTCTCTCCTCCCTATATCTGATGAAAGATAAAGATAACATAGGTAAATCACTGGCTATTTATTTTATGCTCATTAATGAATAAAACACAGAAAAACATATCAATCAACAAGAGAAAAACAAAATACCTTTCATACTCATAGGCTGATCTACTTTTGACTAAGCCATCAGGTGTAACATCCTGTTTTACAAACCCAAATCTATCTAATGATCTTGGTGAAGGAACTGGACCTGGTTCATAGTCATCTAATCTTTTCATTTCCATTCAAAAATCACAAACCGCCTCTCTCAAACCAAAAGACAAATGGCTTCGCTAAACATCACAACGACGAAAACCTGAAAAATAAATGTAAAAAAATATTGATGTCACTATCAGCTTGCAAAATTTATTGATAAATAAATAAGTTTCTGTGCACAAAGTAACTGTATTTGCTCATTTAATTTTAAAACATACACTGCAAGTATGTAATAATAAGATTAAAATGTATGCTGAGATTACAGCTTGTTGTGCCATAACCCATAAGCATAATAACAACTCCCTTCCAGCACATACAAATAATGATTTCTAATTGGTCAAAAGTACAAAATCTTTTACAATGACAATGTATGTCTATTAAACCCATCAAATAATTCTTAATCCAATAAAGTAAACACCCCAACACACACGCACACACCCCCAAAAAGCAATTTAGGAAGAGTAACTGAATATCGCAAATTCATTAAGATCATAAATGCAAAACACACTTATTTATTCATCATTAGTTACATATAAGTGAATGCCTGTTCTACACTAATATGCAAACCATGTGCTCCCAAAGACACATTATGAGTATATTTTCTTCTCTCTTTTTTTTTTTATTTCCATTCAACATTAATCAAACACCCAATAGCAAGAGAACAGTTAGTGTGCCAAACTCGTGGAAATTGAAATTATACAGTGAAGAAGTAGCTAGAATTGATTATGTAATTTGAGAATTTAAACAAAATTGCTGAGCCCAAGACATAACCAAGAAGCTTAAATTTTTCATTATCCGTACCATCATTCCACTCGAGCCCTACACCCATTGCTTTCAATTTGAAGAAAATCACAAATTATTGGACCGAATTGTGCGAGAAGAAACAGGGGCACCCAAATTGAGAATCGCCCAAAGAAGGATGACGGTGAAAAGATCAAAGATCATATAGATCAAAGGTTGAATTGGTGAAGGGAGGGTGTAATTGAGATTATAGAATTTTGAGGGAACACAGAAACAAGAGAGATGAATTGGGGTGGCCGGCAACAACCTCGGAAATGGAAAATAAGAGAGATGGACGTTTTTAAACAGGAGAAAACCAGAAGCCAAAGGTGTAATTTTTTTATTATTATTTTCTTTTTTCAGTTTTCAACAATTCTGTTTTATTTATTTATATATATATATATATATATATATATATATAATATTATTTATTAGGATGAAAAATGTTAAAAGAAGCTGAAAGAGAAAACATAAACATATAAGTTAATTAATAATAAAAATAAAATGTTTAATTATCTCTAAATACTAGGTTCTGATGTTAACAAATTTATTTAAATCCCTTGAATTTAGTGGTTAGAACTGAAATTCCTTTTTAAAACTTTGACCATTAAAAAATTAATATACAAAGTCAAATCAGAATTATCCTAATTATGAGAATTAAAATATAATTAAATAAAATAAAATATGATATTTTTACTTTTTATGAAAAATTGATGAAAATATTTTTTAAGGGTTATAAAACATAGCGGAAATTTGTTATTGAGCATGAATTTGCTGGGTGGGCTAACAGTATTTACAGTTCATCTTCAACTTTAATCCAACCTAATCCATGAATACATGAGTTGGCCTAACAAATTATGTAAATTTAATTTATTAAAATAATATAATTAAAAATATATTTTTTCTATATTGTGTTGTATACAAATATTTTATTTATAAGATATATATAAATTCAATTAAAATTATTAATTATAATTAAATAATTTAATATATAAAAGCATTAATCATCTCAAAATTGATAAAATAAGATATATTAATTAAGTTTAAATTTTTTTTAATATTAATATATATGTATTTTTAAAATATAAATAAATATTTATTTATTTTCTATTTAAAATTTTGAAAATTCAATAATATCTTGACTATGACAGTAGACAAAAATAAAGAGACTGACGTATTTGGTCTCTCCTAAATTAAATTTATGCATGTCTATTAATTTACATTTATCATAAATTAATTAAATTTTATAGACATAAATATGCTTTTCAGATAAAGTAAAACTGGGTTTATTAGGAATGAAAATTTAAAAGAAATATTAAAATTAAAAAGTAAAAACAATTTATAAGAAGTAAATATATATTTAAATAATTTTATAATGATTAACCTACAATTTTTATAGTAATTCTTTTTTTACTCTATTTATTTTATATCTAATAAAAGCTTAAAAAATTATCGTAACCATCAACTATTAAAAAAAAGTGTGTTTTTTTAAAGATATTTACATAATAAAATATTCAAAATTACTATTATTTATAGACATAAAAATAAAATTATAATATATTTTTATAAAGATAATTTAGAAATGAGAGTTACATATTTTTTAATTTTTTGTAATTTACATTTGTATTTCTTAAACTTAAGGAATATATTAAATACGTTTATTTATATATTTATAATGTTGATTTTTTATTTTTTATATAAATATTAAATTATTAAATATATTAAATAAAAAATATTTTATATTCTTTTGTATGTTTTTACAAATTTATATTTATTTATTTATTATTTATTAATAAGACCTGATTAAAATTATCCGTTAAGATTTATTAATAAAATATAAATAAATTTTAAAAATCTTTTCATGATGTGTTGTTAGTTTATAGATAACTTTTAATCTTAAATAAATTAGTTAACTTAAAGTGTGTGATAGTGTTAAGTTGACCAAACGACTTAATAATATTATTGTTTAATGTTTATAAGTTATTTTCAAAAATATTTTTATAATAACTAAATTGTTCTTTAAAGAAGTATACAAAATATAAGTTATATGATCAAATAAGTAAGAAAACAAGTAAAAATACTTAATTTTTATATTGGTTTACTCAAGTTGAACTTCATCTAATAATTTTTTACTAATAGTTAGAAAATTCTACTAGAATCAACAAATTACAAAACAAATCATTGATTATTACTCTTGTTTTACATCAAAATACATAAAAGACACTTTTAATTATCTTTTAACTCTCCTTGAGTTAAAGAATTAATCCACGAGGCACTATTCGTTTACATAAGATCATTTTTTTGGTGCACATGTTTACAAGGTCACTCTTGCCATATTGAGTATTTTTTATCATTTAAATAGTCCTAGTTCTACCAAATAAACATATGAAGTATATCAAACAAAAGTTTGAAAATGTCATAGGATTTTAACTCTTACCAAGAGGATATGATTGAACATGCACAACTTGTCAAATTGAGTGACTATTAGATTTTGCTATGGTTACCATTAAATGATATATTTGACATTGAGCGGTCTGATAATTATTAAATCTTATAGTGACTTACACGCTAGTTTGATAAATTTATAAATTAACTTATTTACTAACTAATATATTAATATATTAAGTCACTAGATAATATATGATTAACAACTTATAATATAATTTATGCATTTATTCTCAATTAATATTTTTAAATTTGAATGATGAAACATAAATCTAAAATTTTAAGGTTTAAAGATTTAATTAAAGTTCAACCTAGTGGCAAAGGGAGAGGCCATGTTATGACCCCACCAAAATTTTTAATATCATTAACTATTATTAATATAATTTTATTTTATTAATTAAAAAATAATTATATAATGAAAAATGAATAGATAATCATTTAATCCTTGTTTCATATCTAATACAATCGAATTTAATAAAATAATAATTTTATAATATAATAAATTCATTAATAATAATATCTTTTTTAAATATGGATAATAGTATATTACAATAAAAGTTAAAAATATAAAATAAATAATAATTAAAGTAAGATAAAAATATAATAAAATAATTATTAATTAAAGTTGATATATTTAATATAAAATAATATATATAATAAAATTATATTTCAAAATTTGATGTTTATTTTTATTTATCAAACGAAAAGATTCCATCAATTTTTTTTCAATTTTACTGATTTTTCTAATTTTATACTGATTTAATTAAAATTAATTGTTTAAAAATAACTAATTAGCTTTTACATAAGTGGTACAAGCTAATCTATTCAAATTTCAAAAAACAATATATTCACGAAATAAATAATAAAAACTTAATTATATTTATTATAATTAAAATCATAAATATAATATCCATCTTTTTATAAAGGTGGAGATAATGTCATTATTTGAGTTTAACAAAAATTTATTTTATCAAATTGTAATTAAAATTAATGTCTCATAACTATAACTATGTTACAAAATAGTCCCATTAATTATGCTATAAATATTTACTAAATTATAACCAATTAAATATGTTATTTTTATACTAATAGTTATGAAAGAATTTATTTCTAAATTGTTAAAAAAAAAGGGAAAAGAGAATGTTATTTGTCTCATATGAGTACAAAAAAGAAAAATAAAAGAATAAGATTATTAGAATAAAATCATACGCAAACAATAATATTAGTTTGACAAATATTTCTTATGTTTAAAAATTCATAATAAATCTTTTTTTTTCTTTTTCTGAAAGATGATGTAAGTATAATTATCATTCTAACTAAGTTATACATCTAAACTTACATATCATTTGTAATATATTAATATTATTAAAAAACTAAATATAAAATTAACAAATAGATTATGTCTAACAATAAATCTAAAAATCTATGCTCAAAATTATGCTTAGTTAATTCATCAATATATTTCCTTCTTAAAATTGTAAGAATAAATAAAAATAATGAAAGACTTAACATGAAAAAATTCTTCCATTTTATACACAAATGCTGGGACACGATATTATAATTTTAAAAAGTCATATTAAATAATAATTTCAATAAAATATTTTAGTTAATTTCAATCAAACATTACTTTATTCTTAGAACGTGTTCATGTTATTGTTATAGTCTTGCATTTATTTAAAAACATATAGAAACTTTATAATCATTGATATTAAATAATCATCTTATTTTATCAAAGTGTTTGAGGTGTTGTCTGACGCATATCAAAATTTAAATTTAAAAGTGTTTTGATTTTTATTTAAAAAAAATCTTGAAAGCAATGAGGAGAGATTTATGAAAATGTCCTTACATTTTCAAGAGATGATTTTGACGATGATTCAAGTCAATCGTATTCAAGTCAACATCATTCAAGATGACATTCTCTTTCCTTTATCTCTTTCTCCTTTCCTGATTATATTATTGTTTCCGCTTTATCTGTGATCAAACAAATTATTGACTCATAAATAAATTTTTAATTTGACATCTATTTTAATTTGTGCATCTATTCACCCTCTAGATGTCATTTGTCTAACAAATCTTAACCAAAATAAATTAGTATTTTATATGTTTAATAAAAAAAATACATAATTAATTATGATATTATTAATTTTATTTTGTTTTATATATTCAATTTAAAAAATAACAACATATATTCTAAATTTAAAAAAAGTAATTAATTTATTCTTAAAAAATATTATTTTATATTTTAATTTCAAGAATATATATTATAATTTTGATTATGGGGTTAAATTAAGAATCGACCTAAATCAATTAATTTTAAAATTTTTCAATTAAAAAATAATTTTAATTAAATTTTAATCTTTTTAATAAAGATAATAATAATAATTAATTTGAGAAGAAGTAAAAAAAAAAACATTAAGAGAACTTACATTAATTTTATGAAACAAGGAAATACTCAATAATGCAAGAGATTCATAAAAATATAGATGCAAAAGGTAGGGCTATGAATCATTATATCATTGAGGCATTATGGACCCCTCAATTATTTAAGGTCTTATTGTTATAGTTTTTAAATAATTTTAATTATTAATCTACATTTTCAAATTATAATATCCACAAATGGTTCGATTTCTTAAAATAAAGTCTTATATTCAAGTTTTATGAATAAATAAATAAAAAATATAGATAGACAAACATACTCCACTAAGAAGATAGTTAATAAGACTTTTTTTAGTATAAATCATTTTATATATAGGATGTATCTTCAATTAAAATTCAGTTTTAATAAATGTTCAAATATGAAATCACATTCACATTTTTTTTATTTGAATTCTAGCAACTACAAAATTTAGATAATAATAAGCTAAAAAAATATAATTTTTATCTTTTATTTATTTTAATGAATAATGTAAAAATTGCATAATAAATTATATTCTAATAAACATATGCCATAATATTATTTTTTTCAAATTCATTATTTCTAAATAATTTGTTGTTATTAATGAAAGTATATTTTTTTAATTCAAATATAATATAAAACTACTTATGTTAAATAAATAAATTGCATCATTTATACATAATTAAGTATTATAAATATTTAACTATAAATTTGAATAATACTTTCATAGTAAACAAAATAATATACTACTATTAAATTTAAAGCTTAAATTTCATCTTATTCTCATGATTCTTAAGAGAACCTCATTTGCTTTTCGCAACCATCTATTGGCTTAATGTGAAACAATAATTATACTTAATGCATTAGTTACACAATTTCTCATAGAAAATAGTTTTCAAACTCTCAAAAGTACTGGTTGATGAAACACCATTTCACTAAGCACAATAACCCAAACATAAATTTCTGAGAAAAAAAACACCACAAATAATATAAAACGAAGGTTAAGTTTTAAAATATTAAAAAATAATATTTATTTCGTTTAGAAACGAAAACGTAGTGATTTAATATTTATTAGGATAAACACAGTTTAAGATTAATCCCTATGTTGGACATATTATTTTATTAAAAAAAAATGCGTTAATCTAAATTATTGGTCAATGGAAGGGACATAATCTTGAAAGCAAATAAAAGTTATTGAAGTAAGGAACATAATAAGATAATCCAAATTCTCATTAAGGGAAAGTTATCCTAAACAAAGTAAACTTAGTAAATGACATTAATCAACACAGAAATATCCTTAAAAGCTAAGTCAGATGGTAGATAACAACAAACAGTCAAAGTAAAACTGAAAAAAGTTTACTTAAATTATGCAACAAGCTTTCCATAATAAGCCACTGATGAATCCATATGATTCATTCCTAAGTTTCGTATCTATTCATAAGATTCATTATTCATCATTTGACATATGCATGCCAAATAAAATCTAAATATGTACCAATTCTCAGAACAATATATCTCTGGCTAGCTTTACAGACATGGTTGACACATGGTTGATGCACAAATTTGAATCATTATGTTACAATGTCATATACTGCTATATACTTGTCTATTAATATATATTGTCAAGGATTTTTTTTTTTCATATATATATATATATATATATATATAAAAGAGGATGCAAATAGGAAAACTTGCTGTGCTAATAAGAATGTCCTCCTATATTGGCCCTTTTTATATAAGAAGCCTAGGTCCATCGGAGAGCTATTGACACATGCAAAATTGAATCTTGGAACCCCAAGACTTTTTCAAGACCCAAGACCCAGGACCCAGGTAAGAGATTGAATATGTAATACACTAAAACTGGATATATTTCAAAATAAATAATATTTAAAAAAGATATACCAACATTGTAGGAGCACTCTGTTCATCTTCTTGGTCCACTAGATACAGTTCTGTTTGTTTTACGCAATACCATATGATGATATCAGGTAATAAATGCCCTTTCGGCTAATATTCTTTTTCATGTTTATGTTACTCTATGCATGTTTCTGGGTAATTATGTATCTCCTCCTCCTCTTATATTTTTAAGCTTCAAATTTTCTTTGTGGGGGTAATGCCTTTTCTGTGGCACTGGCAGGTTTCATGGGTATGTAGTTTGATTGTGGAAGAGGCATGACTTGTTTTTCTTTATCTTGCAATACTGGGTCATTTCTTACCCCATCTGCGGTCCAAAGAAGATATTTTGGGGTGGGTGGAGGTTTGTGCACTAGGTCATGTGTTTTTACTTCTCTAGGGTTTAACCAATTTTACAAGTTTCAACATGATTGTGTTTGGGAAAAGAAACTAGGGTATTGTGGTGGTAGAAATAGAGTTCCCTCATTGACGGTTCCTTTTTGTTACAAGACTCCACGTGGTGTCTCAAGTAACAATAAAATTGAGCCATTTGTAAGTAGAAGCAAGGGTGAGAGGAAGACTCACCATGGTAAGGGTGAAGGTAATGGGTTGAAGAAGAGGTTTTCATTGAGATGGCGGCCGAGGTTAAGGTTATTGGCTATGAGAATGAAAAGGGCTTCCATTAAGTCCATTTTGAATGAGTTGGGGGTACTTATTCGGAAGAACTATAGAGCAGTGGCATTTTCTGCCTCAGTTTCTGTTGTGTTCAGCCTTTGTTTTCTGATTCTAAAATTGACTACACTTCCCCCTACAAAATCTGTTCCATATTCTGACTTGATCACCAGCCTTCAGAATGGATATGTTGATAAGGTTTTAGTTGAAGAGGGGTCCCGGCGTTTATATTACAACATGAAGTCCCAGATTGTTGAAAATGATTATGTTTCTGGTGAAGAATCTCAAGTTGCTGATGTTTCCATTTCTCCAGATATTGATGAGATAGGGAGTGAGGGTACTACTACGGCTAGCCAAAATTCACCAGTGAATGTACTAAAGAAATTCTCCAAGACTCGAGCTTCAATTCCTGAATGGCAGTATTGCACAAGAAAAATAGATCATGATGAAAAATTCCTTGTTAGTTTGATGAGAGAAAAAGGGGTTACATATAGCTCTGCCCCTCAATCTGCGTTGATGTCAATGAGAAGTACTTTGATCACTGTGATAACACTGTGGATACCTTTAATTCCATTGATGTGGCTTCTCTATCGTCAACTTTCTGCTGCTAATAGTCCCGCAAGGAAGCAGAGGCCTAATAGTCAGACAGTTGGATTTGATGATGTGGAAGGTGTTGATTCTGCAAAAGTAGAGCTCATGGAGGTAATTATCTCATACTAGAATGTTTATAAATAATTATGTTTGGTTAATAAGTGACTGTTACCACTGACATAATTACTTTTTATTTCACTGGAGAAAGATCCTATTATGTTCACTCCTCTAAGTATGAATTGGGTTTGTGATTATTTTTAGACAGATTCAGAATGCTGGGTGCACTGTGCTAATTGGTTATTTGTACTAGTAACATTAGAATCTGAATTATTGCTTTTTTTTCCCTTCAAATTCTCAAAATCGCATGGCCTGAAATATTATCATTTTCAGTTTATAAAATAGCAAGAAGAAATACGGGAACATTTTGTTGGAAAAGATCAGCAAGGCTAACTGGCATGGTAGTATTATAGACTGAATAATGGTGTTGGCAGGTAGTTAGTACTAGTTTGCTAGAAATGATAAAAATCTTTTGTTTTTTTTATTACATTTTGCAATTCTATTTTTATCACTTGGAAGTTGAAATGAATGATCAATGGTACAATATTTAGCTTATTACATGATAAAAAAAAGGCATAAAAGCTTTAGTATCATGAGCTAAGAAAGTGCACTAACTTAATGACTTATAATTTGTGAGATGTGACAGTATTTATGGATAATATTCTGGTCTTTGAATAACCAAATTCTGAATTTATTATCTTGGAATCATTATGTTCAAATCCATTTGACTACTGCCCAGATAAAGAAAACTTTAATCAGGCAAATTTTTTGTGTCAAAAGCAAAATAATTTATTCCTAAGGTTCTCTTATGGACTTATTGTAAGATCTTTTCAATCAGAAAATGGCATGCAGTTCTGTGAATTGGTCTTCTACTTTGCTATTTAGATATTCTAGAATTGGACAATTAAGACATTGAAACAAGGTTTCCCTGCCATATAGATATCCTTAATACTTAAAGGTAGTCATTTAAAGTTACTCTTGGCTCTTGGTTATAGTATAGCCAGTGGCAATTAGGTACATTGTGTTGAAAGTAGTCTCAATTGCATCAAATTGTTGTAGATTGGAAACTAACATTTGAATGAACTATGAGCTGAACAAAGACATATATTAGTCGGTTGTTCCTTTAAAAGTAGCGATGACAAAATGTGTTAAGCCTAGCAGGCCGGCCCACCTAAAAAATGGCAAGATGGATTGATAATTTTAGCCCATTAACCCATATTGGTTAATTTTAAAAATATTTATATATTAAAATTAAAATAAAAAAGATTATAATTAAAAATATTATATTTTTTGTGTCATGATGTTGAAACATGTAAATATATTATAATATTATAATTTAAATTACAAATATTAACCTATTAAGTTTAAATTATTGATTATAATTAATAATTTTTACATACAAGTATAATATTTTTTTCAATTTATCTAATAAAAATATTAATTAATTAATAAAAATTTAAAAATTATTCATACAAATAAAGTATATTTTTAAAAAAATATATATAAAAAATATTGGTGGATTAGCCGTCTAACTTGTTCTTTGGTGGGACTGGACCGAGTCTATAATCCATCTTGAGTATAGCGGGCCAATTCGTTCCATCGATTTTGGTAAACTAGAGACGGGGAGAGTCAAAATGGGACAAACTGACCCATTTTGTCATCCCTATTTAAAAGGGTTGATTAGATAAATGGGAGAAATTGGATTAGAGGGATTCATTATGTAAAAGGAGAATCCTTGGTGAATGGGAAGAAGGAGTCGTTGACAAGAGAAACCCCCTCTCCCACGCGTCCCCTCTCTTAGTCTGAAAAAGTTAATAAAATTGTTCATTTGTTTGTATCTATTTTCCATTCTTGGTTCATAACATGTTCATTGATTAATGATCAATCTAGATCACTTTGAGATATCTAACCATTTTGTTCAAAAATATTTAAGAGAGAAATAATGGTTTGGAATAGTTGTATATAGGAGATTGGACAAAACACATGAAATAGTCTGTTGATTAATTGATCCCATCCAATCATTGAATATGGAAGACTTATTGTAACAACTGGAAAATGAATTTCTGATTATATGATAGCCGATTAAAATAATTTTTAACCAAATGCCTTCATATGTTGATGATTTATAATTTTATTAGAATTTTCTTGTCAATGGTTAAGCAACTTCATTGTGTTATTATTTACACAATCCCTTTTTGTAGATAGTTTCATGCCTGCAAGGGGATATAAATTACCGAAAGCTAGGGGCAAAGTTACCTAGAGGTGTGCTGCTTGTGGGTCCTCCTGGAACTGGGAAGACACTACTTGCACGTGCAGTGGCAGGGGAAGCAGGTGTACCCTTTTTCACTGTATCTGCTAGTGAGTTTGTTGAGATGTTTGTTGGAAGAGGGGCAGCTAGAATCAGAGACCTTTTCAACGCGGCAAGAAAATTTGCACCATCAATCATATTCATTGATGAACTTGATGCAGTTGGAGGCAAGCGAGGAAGAAGTTTCAATGATGAGCGTGACCAGACATTAAACCAGGCAAGCTTACATAATAGTGTATTTCTTTAGCAGATACAAATTATGAACAATTGGTTATTTTTATGGCTCACGAGTCACTTCTGAATATAGAGTAATGTGTGGTGGGAAGATAATGAGCAAAAGTCCAGTTTCTTCAATTATTTCGCAGTATTAGTATATGCTTTCTACATGAAAGACAAATACTTAGTATGTTTAGTTGGAATTTTGAGCAGGAAAGTGAGAAACAAATCATATGCTTTTAATAGTTGTTATATGCTCTAAACTGAATTTTAAAGTGTCTTCTGTCTATGTAGTTGCTGACAGAAATGGATGGATTTGAATCAGAGATGAGAGTGGTAGTCATTGCAGCAACTAATCGGCCAGAAGCCTTGGATCCGGCTCTATGTCGCCCCGGTCGATTCTCAAGAAAAGTATATGTTGGTGAACCTGATGAAGAAGGAAGGAGAAAAATATTGGCTGTGCATCTGAGAGGAGTCCCTTTGGAGGAGGACACTGACATCATTTGCCATTTAATTGCTTCTCTTACAACTGGTTTTGTAGGTGCTGATCTGGCAAACATTGTCAATGAATCTGCTTTGCTTGCTGCTCGGAGAGGTAACACCAACTTACATTTTTTATATCTAATGTGTAATTGGTTCAACTTATTTTAGAGAAAAAATTCCTTATTTTGTCAGGTTTCTAAGAGAACTTTTGAAAAATAAGCAATTATTTCCCAAAAATGAATCCTAACCAAACATGCACTAGCTCACTAGCCATTTTGCATTCACAAATTAGCGTTTCTCAATGGATTGAATCCCATTCTACTTTTCTCTGTTTTCATTGATGTCTTTTTCTTTTTGCTCAAAAATATGTATGGACACTTTCAAGTGTGATGAATTTAGGACTGAGTGGTATGTATATTTTTGGACTTTACAGGTAGTGAAAGTGTGGCAAGGGAAGATATAATGGAAGCTATTGAAAGAGCGAAATTCGGAATCAATGATAAAGAATTGAGGTCTAGTAAAATAAGCAAGGAGCTAACCAAGCTATTCCCTTGGATGCCATCATTGATGGGAAAAAATGAAAGAAGACAGGATGACCTGCAAGGACCGTTAGGTTATCAATCATTGAGTTGATGAATTTTCCTGTTAAATTTGCTTATATTTTTGCCACCATATTTGTTCATTTCTTTGTTACCCTTTACGTAATGCTCAAGAACACTGTCAGCAGAAAGGGAAAATATAATATAGCTGGTAAAAGCCCATGTTTTTGGCCACCAAGCATTTTATACTACCACTAGCAGTTCATTATGCTTTTTCTATGGACACGATTGGAGTTTTTTACACCAAAGCACAGCAGTACGTTACACAAGGAAGACAGTAAAATCATGAAGGAAGACATTTTCTTATACAGAGGAACTAAAAACATTTGATCTAATAAAAGTACCCATAGCCTGGAATTCCACCGTGCAGCATTGAATAAGTTCTCTTCAGTCCAAGCTCTAATTTTGCACCCTACCCAAAATCTCCTTTGAGTTCAATTCATGAACTATCAAACAAAAGATGAAAGAAGAAACCCTGGAATTCCACCGTGCAGCATTGAATAAGTTCTCTTCAGTCCAAGTTCTAATTTTGCACCCTACCCAAAATCTCCTTTGAGTTCAATTCATGAACTATCAAACAAAAGATGAAAGAAGAAACCACCACAACACGGTCCCTCACACAACGCCATAAAATGGAGTTTTGCTAATGGTCGAGATTTTTGGGGCAGAGGCCCAGGATGCAGAGTCCTTGAAAGAGGGTTTACACCAAAAACAATTTCTAGCCCCATCACTTCCCTCATTTTTCTCTTCCTTTTTCCTTTTCTTCATTTACTTTTTCCTTTTTTTTTTGTGTCCTTTATTTATGTTTATTCTTCACAGCTATATCACATCCATGCAAATATAATATCTCCTTCAAGACAAGTAAGAAAGATCGATGATATAAAAATTAATTATTATATAAAAATAAATATGATATAAAATATTCAACAACATGCTTATAGAATTTAAATTTTGAAATTAGAGTTTATTTAATCACCTATTATATCTTTTTTTAAATAAGTTTATAATTTTATTTTTAAACATTTCTAAAATTTAACATGAATTATTTTTTTCATATTTTAACATTAAAATAGAATATCATAAAACATTAAATAACTAATTAATTTATAATAAATAAAAAATTATAACAATATTTTTTATATATTACTATGCTAATTTGTTATAACAAAGAACAAAAACAATAAAGAAAATAAAATTGATTATTATTTCTTTATTTCAAGAAAATTATTGTTGGATATCACTTTAATTTTTAATTTTTTATCTTTTTTCAACTCGTGAAAAAAAATATAATCTTTATATTATAAAGATGAAACTATAAAGATAATTTTTTTTATCTTTTGAAAACTAAAATGAAAAACTTACAAGTTTTATGGTATAAGACTAATCTTAGAAAGAGAAGAATATGAGAGGAAAAAATTGTATAAAAAGTTGTAAGAAAGTGAAAATGCAATAGAGAAAAATATAAAAGTCTTTATAAGGAGAGAGAAAAATGTACAAGTGAAAAAATTATGTTAGGGAATAAAGATAATATTTATTATAATGGATAAAGTTGAAGGAGAAAAGATAAAAATTTAAATTTTATTTATATTTAAAAATATGTTTAATTTAATTTTTTGTTGTATTTGTCATGTTTTATTAAATAAAAAAAATATTATTATTATACATAGGTAAAAAATATAATTTTATAATGTAGTGAATATTAAAAAAAATATATTCAAAAGAAAATTTTAGTTGAACGTATCACTCTCTTACTTTTGATATTTAGAAAGGTAAAATGGTCAATTCAATTTCATCATTTAAAGTGTATAAGTTTTAATTTAATCTAAAATTTAATAAATTAAAACAAAGTCCTTCAAAATAACTTTAATTTCTCACATTCATTTTTTATTTCAAGTAAGTTCTTAATTATCATTAAAAGACAATTTAATTTGTAGATGTAAAAGCTAGGAACCTATTTTAAGATGAATGTGATTATTTATTAACATTCATTGGATTAACTAAAAAATATACACTTAAACATATTAAAACACCATTCCGCCTTTAAAAAATGTTATGATAATTTGTTAAAATTTTTTTTCAAAAGTTAATCTATTTAAGAATAATATTAATGACATATTTATTAAATATAAAGCTATTAATACCAACTAGAAAATAGAATACATATTTTGTTTTACTTATTTTTAAAAAATTATAATAAGATAAAAGATAAATCTTTATAAGAAGTTTTGTCATTCAACTACAATAGACTGTGACTATGAAAAAATTGGATATTAATTACTCAACCTCTTTTCTAACTCAATGATGTCTTAAGTATCATAATTCACATAATATTCATAATAATTATGATTTATTATAGTAAGTGGTATAATACTTGATTGTTTCCCACTTACTCTTACTCTTCTAACCACACCCAGTAATTAATTGGACAAATCAAATTTCTCTAATAAAAGATAAAAATGGTGGTGACTTCACTTATATAAAAATATATGGATTGAAGAACAATAGAAATAATGGAAACAACAATCGATGAACCACACATTAATTATTTTTCCTTTAAAGATGAACATATGCATTGTAATATTATAAATACAAAAATAATTTAAAAGACATGATAATTTAAAAAATGATGTGTGCAAAGTTAATATATATATATAATTTTTTTAAACAAATTGAGATTTATTATTTGAATAGATCAAAATATATTTAACCCACATAAATAAATAAATAAATATATATATATATATAATATAAATATGTATTCATATTATATTATATTTATATATATATATATATATATATATAATAATATAAATATATATATATATATATATATATATATAATATAAGTATATATATAAATATATATTCATATATATTCTATATATTTATATTATATATATATATTTATATTATATATATATATATTTATATTATATATATATATATATATATATATATATATATATAATATACATATATTTAGAAAAAAATTAAACATAATGTTTAATCTTATAAGCATTTATTTGTCTTGATAACATATAAATATTAATTTAATATTCGAGGTAGGAGCTCACTTACATCAAGAAAATAATAATAATAATAATAAATAAATTTATAAAAATAAATATACAATACAAATAATAATAATAATAAATATTTGTTTTAGTTATTTTGAAAATTATATGATGAGATAAATATTTTGAAAGATATTAATATTTTTCTTAATAATAAAAGTTAATTAACTTTGCAAAGAATTTTATATATTTTTTAAATATAATAGACTCTCACATTCAAAATCTAACTTTATAAATATTTATGTAAATTTTATTTTTTTAAATATTTTTTCATTCCACTATAATTCTAGTTTCAAAAGATTGTAATTATAAAACAACTTATTATTATTGATGTCTTAGTAAATTTTTAATTTTGTCTACAACTTAATATTGTCGTAATTATCCTATTACATGAATCATCGATATCAAAGTTCACATGGTTATTGTGAGAATAATTATGATTTATTGTGGTCAGCTAGAACATCACTCAATTGTTTCTCCTCTTATTCTTACTCTTCTAACAATATCCCATAAAAAATTAGACGAATAAATTATCTTATCCAAGGCTGAAAATGGTAAAAGTGGTGGTAATTTAATCTAGATGTCTAAGTTGTCAATATGATGTGGATGGAAGAACAATCAAAATAAAAGAAACAACAACTTGATGAACCAAACCGTAACCTTGAATCATTGTTACACCATAGACAATCATGTGAATTGTAATATTGAAGATTCATGCGATGAGGACGATTAAGATAATATTAAGTTACAATAAATAATAATTTAGGAAACATGATCATTAAAAAAAATAATGTATATAATGCTTTATATATATACATATATATATATATATTACATATATATATATATATATTACATATATATAATATACTTAAAAGTAAAAAGTTAATACTATATTAACTATGGTTATCTTATGAATAATCAAAGTAATCATGATTGATTATAATCATGGGCTAAGAAATGATTGTATCTCTTATTCGTGTGAAGTGTCAAAGAGAAAAACTGAAATAGTAGCAATATACAATTGCATATTAAAAAGAAAGTATTGGTTTGAGAATAAAAACAACATAACATTAAATAGATCCACAAAAAATATTTTGTTTTGAGAGCATGCAATCTATCAAAAGGAAAACAAAAACAAACACACGATGATAGTAATAAAAAAACGACCTCATCTTTCTTCTTCAATCTCTACTACTTTCATCATGTTATCCACTTACAAAATTTTCAATAATCATTAACAAATAGTAAACAATCTTGTATATAGCAGGTTTACTCGCTTATCATATGGTGCATTTTCTAATTACTATTATATACAAATCTTCAACCTTTACGAGTATGAAATGAATGAACATATATGCTATTAAAGAATGTAATGAAATTTATAATGTTAAAAAAAAAGAATAAAACCATAATTTGAATGTAATGAAATTTATCAAGTTTATTTCACAAAATAAAATAATAATAATAATAATAATAATAATAATAATAATTATTATTATTATTATTATTGAAACTAAAGTTTAGAAAGAACAAGGGAATAAAACCATAACCCGATATAATTGATGAAGCCTGGTGTAGATTATCACTGAAAACTAATTTTTTTGTCAATACTTTTTTCATTTTTTTACTTTTTTTCCCTCTCTTTCTCATTCTCCCATTCTTTCTCATTTTCACACTTTGTACATGAAATCCTAAATTATTTTATCTCACTTCAAACCTCAGAGTGAGAGACTCTTTCACATTTTTTGTTCTCTGGTCGCCTATGGTTTGCATTTTTTAGTCGCAAAAAGTACTAATTCTTGTTGCGGCGCATCAACCATTATATGAATTAGGGTTTTTTATTTTGTACATTCTCTATTGTGTTGGGCTTGACCCAATTTAAGATATAATTTTTTATTCCTTTTTCTTTCATTTTAACAGAAGCTAGGAGAACAACACGTCAGGTAATTATTTGAAT